CTGTAATTTAAAGGATTTTTATTTGGATTTCATGTAATGGACATACACAAAATAGTCCAAATTGGTGAAGTGAAATGAAAGAAATAACTAAATATTGTGGTGCGTGCATATGTATTCACCCCCTTTGCTATGAAGCCCCTAAATAAGATCTGGTGCAACCAATTACCTTCAGAAGTCACATAATTAGTTAAATAAAGTCCACCTGTGTGCAATCTAAGTGTCACATGATCTCAGTATATACACACCTGTTCTGAAAGGCCCCAGAGTCTGCAACACCACTAAGCAAGGGGCACCACCAAGCAAGCGGCACCATGAAGACCACGGAGCTGTGGAGAAGTACAGATCAGGGTTGGGTTATAAAAAAATATCAGAAACTTTGAACATCCCAGGGAGCACCATTAAATCCATTATTTAAAACATGGAAAGAATATGGCACCACAACAGACCTGCCAAGAGAGGGCCGCCCACCAAAACTCACGGACCAGGCAAGGAGGGCATTAATCAGAGAGGCAACAAAGAGACCAAAGATAACCCTGAAGGAGCTGCAAAGCTCCACAGCGGAGATTGGAGTATCTGTCCATAGGACCACTTTAAGCCGTACACTCCACAGAGCTGGGCTTTACGGAAGAGTGGCCAGAAAAAGGCAATTTCTTAAAGAAAAAAATAAGCAAACACGTTTGGTGTTCGCCAAAAGGCATGTGGGAGACTCCCCAAACATATGGAAGAAGGTACTCTGGTCAGATTAGACTAAAATTTAGCTTTTTGGCCATCAAGGAAAACGCTATGTCTGGCGTAAACCCAACACCATTCATCACCCCAAGAACACCATCCACACAGTGAAGCATGGTGGTGGCAGCATCATGCTGTGGGGATGTTTATCATCGGCAGGGACTGGGAAACTGGTCAGAATTGAAGGAATGATGGATGGCGCTAAATACAGGGAAATTCTTGAGGGAAACCTGTTTCAGTCTTCCAGAGATTTGAGACTGTGACGGAGGTTCACCTTCCAGCAGGACAATGACCCTAAGCATACTGCTAAAGCAACACTTAAGTGGTTTAAGGGGAAACATTTAAATGTCTTGGAATGGCCTAGTCAGCCCAGACCTCAATCCAATTGAGAATCTGTGGTATGACTTAAAAATTGCTGTACACCAGCGGAACCCATCCAACTTGAAGGAGCTGGAGCAGTTTTGCCTTGAAGAATGGCTACATGTGCCAAGCTTATAGAGACACCCCAAGAGACTTGCAGCTGTAATTGCTGCAAAAGTTGGCTCCACTAAGTATTGACTTTGGGGGGTGAATAGTTATGGATGCTCAAGTTTTCTGTTTGTTTCACAAGAAAAAATATTTTGCATCTTCAAAGTGGTAGGCATGTTGTGTAAATCAAATGATACAAACCCCAAAAAAAATCAATTTTTATTGCAGGTTGTAAGGCAACAAAATAGGAAAAATGCCAAGGGGGGTGAATACATTTGCAAGCCACTGTATATATATTAGTTTGGGTGTAATGTGTATATTTATGTTGTATATACAGGGCGCATTTGTAAAAGAGACCTAGGTCTGATATATGTCTTCCCTGTTAAAATAAAGGTTAAATAAAAATAAACTCTGTCAGGGTGCTGAAAGATCTGATAGAATTGTTATGTTTTTATTGGGAATTTTCAAATTAATCATTTTCATATTTTTCAAATGTTTGTATTTAACTTTTATTTTTAGAGGCAAAAATATGTCTGGTTAAGTATCTGTTGTCAACTAATGCTAACCCCCTTAAGATCGATTTCTTTTTAGGTCAATATTCTGAAAAATAGATTTTAATCACTGTTCTGCAACGTATGCTTAAACAATTGAAGTATTTGCTGTGCTAGACCTAAGGGATAATGTTTTCTTTATAAAACATGCCAAAATGCTAAAGAAATTAGCCCTGAAGCATTTAATAGTGCTATAAAACAAAACAAAAATAAGTTTAGAGATTTGTATTACATATTTGAATAATCTAATGTTATAATTAAACAATCAATGCCTTTAAACACTAGTTGGACAATAATTGTAAAAACGGAAATGGCTTTTATAGTGTCTGACGGAGCTGACATAAATCCAGTTAGTTGCATTTTATGAAAAAAATATACAAATACATTTGGAGGTTGCTCATTTACATCACGTCACTCATTCCACGGAGGGCCGATTGTCTGCAGGTTTTTGCTCTTTCCTTGTACTTGATTGAGGAATTAATGTCACTGATTAGTAAGGAACTCCCCTCACCTGGTTGTCTAGGTCTTAATTGAAAGGAGAAACCAAAAACCAGCAGACATTAGGCCCTCCATGGAATGAGTTTGACACCCCTGCTTTACATGGTGTGATAGCTGATACTTTGGTCTATCAAAATATATATTTGAGGTTGTCCCGTCTTTCAAGAATCCCTGAGCTCTAAAACAGCAAAATGTTCTCTCAGCCTCATGGCAAAATGTGTAAAATAGCACGAGATTAGCAATATAACTGCAAATGGTTCTGTCTGCCCCATGGGGGGCCCTTGCTTGGACCTTACGGGGGCCCCGCGAAACTGCGCTACACCACTATGTCACTCAAGTCAGAATTTAGGCTAAAACGATACAATCGTATAATTAGGAAAGGAAGACTTGAGATTTAAAAAACAGGTGACCTCCAAATTCACAGCATCTTGCAGTAATGCATCTCTCATCCGATGGATTACTGTATATACTGTAGATAGTGCCATCCTCACATTCTCTGATAAAGACAGAAAATCACAAGTTATGGTAAAACTATCCACTTGTCGACTACTTCAAGCACTACACAATATACAGTCTATGGTTACACCACAGTATTATATAAATTGTCATAAATATGTGAAATCCCCTTGGTATAGAGTTACAGAAAATATATTTGTCAATGTATTAAACATTTAAAAACGGGAAAGGTACCCTATAACTGCAAAACTCCTGTTGTTTACTTCATGGCTCAATGATCTGACAGACAAGTGTAGGATATAACAATCAAAAGTGATAAGCTAGCTAAAATGTCATCACCACAATTATCAGTCATCAACACAAATGTGGGTGAACATTTTTAAAGTTTTACTTGTTTTACCATGTGTGTAGGCCTATACAATAATCACCAAGACAGAGAGGTACAGTGCATTCGGAAAGTATTCAGACCCCTTGACTTTTTCCACATTTTGTTACGTTACAGCCTTATTCTAAAATTGATTAAATTGTTTTTTTTCCCTCATCAATCTAGACACAATTCCCCATCATGACAAAGCAAAAACAGGTTTTTAGAAATGTTAGCAAATGTATACGTACTTTGTTGAAGCACCTTTGGCACCTTTGGCAGTGATTACAGCCTCGAGTCTTCTTGGGTATGACACTACAAGCTTGGCACCCCTCCATTTGTTTTTACACTGCTGCTACCCGCTGTCTATTATCTATGCATAGTCACTTTATCCCTACCTACATGTACAAATTACCTCGACTAACCTGTACCCCCGCACATTGACTCGGTTCCGGTACCTCCTGTATATAGCCTCGTTATTGTTATTTTATTGTGTTACTTTAGTTGATTTGGTAAATATTTTCTTAACTCTTTCTTCAACTGCTTGTAAGTAATCATTTCACGGCGCATGTAACAAAAAGTTTGATTTGATTTGATTTAGGGAGTTTCTCCCATTCTTCTCTGCAGATCCTCTGAAGCTCTGTCAGGTTGGATGGGGAGCATCGCTGCACAGCTATTTTCAGTTCTCTCCAGAGATGTTCGATCGGGTTCAAGCTGGGCTCTGGCTGGGCCACTCAAGGACATTCAGAGACTTGTCCCGAAGCCACTCCTGCGTTGTCTTGGCTGTGTTCTTAGGGTGGTTGTCCTGTTGGAAGGTGAACCTTTGGCACAGTCTTAGGTCCTGAGTGCTCTGGAGCAGATTTTCATCAAGGATCTCTCTGTACTTTGTGCCGTTCATCTTTCCCTTGATCCTGACTAGTCTCCCAGTCCCTGCCGCTTAAAAACATCCCCACAGCATGATGCTGCCACTACCATGCTTCACCGTAGGGATGGTGCCAGGTTTCCTCCAGACATGACGCTTGGTATTCAGGCCATTGAGTTCAATCTTGGTTTCTTCAGAGCAGAGAATCTTGTTTCTCAAGATCTGAGAGTCTTTAGCTGCCTTTTGGCAAACTCCAAGTGGCTGTCATGTGCCTTTTACTGAAGAGTGGCTTCCATCTGGCCACTCTACCATAAAGGCCTGATTGGTGGAGTGCTGCAGAGATGGTTGTCCTTCTGGAAGGTTCTCCCATCTCCACAGAGGAACTCTGGAGCTCTGTCAGAGTGACCATTGGGTTCTTGGTCTCCTCCCTGACCAATGCCCTTCTCCCCCAATTGCTCAGTTTGGCTGGGCAGCCAGCTCTAGGAAGAGTATTGGTGGTTCCAATCTTCTTCCATTTAAGAATTATGGAGGCCACTGTGTTCTTGGGGATCTTCAATGCTGCAAAAAAAATGTTGGTACCCTTCCCCAGATCTGTGTCTTGACACAATCCTGTCTCGGACCGCTACGGACAATTCCTTCGACCTCATAGCTTGGTTTTTGCTCTGACATGCACTGTCAACTGTGGAACCTTATATAGACAGGTGTGTGCCTTTCCAATTCCTGTCCAATCAATTGAATTTACCAAAGGTGTGGTCCAATCAAGTTATAGAAACATCTCAAGGATGATCAATGGAAACAGGATGCACCTGAGCTCAATTTCGAGTCTCATAGCAAAGGGTCTGAATACTTATGTAAATAAGGTATTTCTGTTTTTGCTTTGTCATTATGGGGTATTGTGTGTAGATTGATGAGGGAAAAATTAATTTAATCAATTTTAGAATAAGGCTGTAACGTAGCATAATGTGGAAAAAGTCAAGGGGTCTGAATACTTTCTGAATGCACTGTATTTGTCCTTAGACTTAGGTTATTCAATGATAATAAACCATCTGAGATAGTCATCACCACCCTGAGTCTAGGCTACATAGTCCTGGGTTGCCAGATTGAAGGCATTGTTTTCTGTCTGAGAACGACACCCCTTCATTGCCTTTCGAATTTCATTTTGTACCTGAAAAAACAAAACAATAAAGTTTTTCAATTTGTAGCCTATTATTTGTTGTAAATGTAATTATGATTAATTAAATACTTCACAGGGTTAACAGAATGGCATATCTTACCTCCCCATTCAAGAAGCAGTACAACAATGCAACTATAAACCCCTGTAATGAAATGAAGCCGAATGAATAGTCGTTCACTATTTTTATATTTTCATCCCTTTATGAGGGAAAAACACGTATTTTCAGAAGGCAATAAGTAGCAGAGGTGACCTATGACATTTTGTGCCAGTTTTCATTCAAACCTTTCCTTTTGAGGTAATTATGAGGTATGAATCTGTTAAATTATTAATAATATGGATATCAGATCAATTTAATATTGAAAACCTGCATATATAGGGGTCCCAGTGCTGGGTTGGAGAACCACTCGGTCTAAAAGGCTCTCGTACCTGGAAGGAGCCCAGGACCAGTTCCAGGGAGAGTCGGGCCCCTACACCCACATGCTCAGGTAAGAGGGCGAAGACCACATAGTGCACGCCAAACAGAGGGATGAGAAGCAGGGTGGACCTCGCCAGCCTCCTGCAGGGGGCACCAGAGGAGAGAAAGAGAGAGGGAGGGATGGGAAATAGAGAGATAAACATATGAGAAGTGAGAGCGAGACAGGAGAGAGAGACAAGCAAGGTTGGAAAATAGAGAGGAGATAAACATGAGAAGCGAGACAGGAAGTGTGGTGTGGAGGGGTAGGGGGGAGAAGAAAGTAAGGAGGGAGAGATAAAGAGGAACTTCCTGGATCCAGATTATGTTAATTACGATACAATACACTGGGGAAGTTTGACCCGTTTGAAATCCTACCCAATTCAGAGTCACTCTATCCACATATGGGAGGAACATGGTAAGTCAAGCCAGTGGGTAAGATGAGCAAGCCCTTTTATTTTGTGCATGCTACCAGTTCAGCGCTCATGAACGGTCAGTCAGTCTTACCTGTAGACCTGAAGTCCCTCACTTCCATTCAGGTCAGTGGCCTTGGTCTTCTGAATGATGATCCTACTGATGTTCACAAACACCACGAAGTTGATCTGTGGTTGAGAAAAACAGTGGTTTGATACCAAGTCTCAACCCTCTTATTGACTTTTCAGATAAGTGTTTTTTTGGTCTTACAAAGACAGATAAGAGGATGGGAGTTTTGATGATCCACCACAAGGCACTGTCAAGGTTGTCCCAGCACCTGTTGGGCAGAGATGTTATAATGCTGGAATACTGTTGATGACTTACAGTACTACACGATCACATTCAATATGTCAGTCTTTTCTCTTTTCTCACCCTTGTTTGGGCCCCTTTATTTGCCCTTTTCACTTACTTCCATAAAGGAATATTGATACTTTCACAAGTAGTACATGTAATTATGTCTAATGTAGACAACCAAATAACTATTCTAGTTATTCACAAGCCTCACCCTTCATTGTCAAACTGAATCTTCAGCAGGGTCCAACTTATGATGATCACTGAGGGAGTGCCTGGAAGAAATGGAATGTACAGTCATATAAACACACACACATGCACAGACGCTCACAAACACAAATACACACACACACACCTTACCCCAGCCTATGCCAGTGTACAACCAGAAGAGCTTTCTCTTCTGAGCAAAGGTGAAAACCAGCAGAGTTTGCAGGTACAAGCCCTCTACGAGAAGCCAGAAGAAGTTGGCCAAGACACAGTACTGGAAGAAAGTCACCGCTGCTTTACACTTTACCTAATGGATGGGAAACAAATGTCAATAACAACTACTTTTCTCACATATACAGTACATAGACATTTAGATAATTTTGACAGTCTGTGGTTACCGGTCCCCCCTCAACAAGTTCAACAAGTCAATAACACAAGTTCTTTATACTTTTTGTCTTTATACTGCATCTAGTTATTTGTTACAGTGGGGGAAAAAAGTATTTAGTCAGCCACCAATTGTGCAAGTTCTCCCACTTCAAAAGATGAGAGAGGCCTGTAATCTTCATCATAGGTACACGTCAACTGACAGACAAAATGAGAAAAAAAATTCCAGAAAATCACATTGTAGGATAATAAGTATTTGGTCACCTACAAACAAGCAAGATTTCTGGCTCTCACAGACCTGTAACTTCTTCTATAAGAGGCTCCTCTGTCCTCCACTCGTTACCTGTATTAATGGCACCTGTTTGAACTTGTTATCAGTATAAAAGACACCTGTCCACAACCTCAAACAGTCACACTCCAAACTCCACTATGGCCAAGACCAAAGAGCTGTCAAAGGAAACCAGAAACACAATTGTAGACCTGCACCAGGCTGGGAAGACTGAATCTGCAATAGGTAAGTAGCTTGGTTTGAAGAAATCAACTGTGTGAGCAATTATTAGGAAATGGAAGACATACAAGACCACTGATAATCTCCCTCGATCTGGGGCTCCACACAAGATCTCACCCCGTGGGGTCAACATGATCACAAGAACGGTGAGCAAAAATCCCAGAACCACACGGGGGGACCTAGTGAATGACCTGCAGAGAGCTGGGACCAAAGTAACAAAGCCTACCATCAGTAACACACTGCGCCGCCAGGGACTCAAATCCTGCAGTGCCAGACGTGTCCCCCTGCTTAAGCCAGTACATGTCCAGGCCCGTCTGAAGTTTGCTAGAGTGCATTTGGATGATCCAGAAGAGGATTGGGAGAATGTCATATGGTCAGATGAAACCAAAATATAACTTTTTGGTAAAAACTCAACTCGTCGTGTTTGGAGGACAAAGAATGCTGAGTTGCATCCAAAGAACACCATACCTACTGTGAAGCATGGGGGTGGAAACATCATGCTTTGGGGCTGTTTTTCTGCAAAGGGACCAGGACGACAGATCCGTGTAAAGGAAAGAATGAATGGGGCCATGTATCGTGAGATTTTGAGTGAAAACCTCCTTCCATCAGCAAGGGCATTGAAGATGAAACGTGTCTGGGTCTTTCAGCATGACAATGATCCCAAACACACCGCCCGGTAACGAAGGAGTGGCTTCGTAAGAAGCATTTCAAGGTCCTGGAGTGGCCTAGCCAGTCTCCAGATCTCAACCTGGAATTGAAAGTCTGTGTTGCCCAGCGACAGCCCCAAAACATCACTGCTCTAGAGGAGATCTGCATGGAGGAATGGGCCAAAATACCAGCAACAGTGTGTGAAAACCTTGTGAAGACTTACAGAAAACGTTTGACCTGTGTCATTGCCAACAAAGGGTATATAACAAAGTATTGAGAAACTTTTGTTATTGACCAAATACTTATTTTCCACCATAATCTGCAAATAAATTCATAAAAAATCCTACAATGTGATTTTCTAGATTTTTTTTTCTCATTTTGTCTGTCATAGTTGATGTGTACCTATGATGAAAATTACAGGCCTCTCTCATCTTTTTAAGTGGGAGAACTTGCACAATTGGTGGCTGACTAAATACTTTTTTTCCCCACTGTATGCATTGTTGAAAACATGTAGTAGTACTCCCTGTTCACCCATGACTGCATGGCCAGGCACGACTCCAACACCATCATTAAGTTTGCCGACGACACAACAGTGGTAGGCCTGATCACCGACAACGATGAGACAGCCTATAGGGAGGAGGTCAGAGACCTGGCTGTGTGGTGCCAGGATAACAACCTCTACCTCAACGTGACCAAGACAAAGGAGATGATTGTGGACTACAGGGAAAAAAAGAGGACTGAGCACGCCCCCATTCTCATCGACGGGGCTGTAGTGGAACAGGTTGAGAGCTTCATTAATGCAGAAGATGTTACAACATTTCCATAGGAATTTATGTTCCCTAGAACCTTATTTCCTACTAGGTTGACCTATCTATTGATACAAATTGTGCAGCCTGTTCAAACATTCCATGGGAAATACCTCAATAACTGATGTTGCCAACCCACTCTAATCTGGACATCTACTGGTCCTGTTGCTCAATGATTCATGCTCAAACTGAGTTAAGGAAAGAGCTCAGCCCTTACTTCATGGCCCTCAAAGAGGGGGCTGTAGTGGAACAGGTTGAGAGCTTCAAGTTCCTTGGTGTCCACATCACCAACGAACTATCATGGTCCAAACACACCAAGACAGTCATGAAGAGGGCACGACAAAGCCTATTCCCCCTCAGGAGACGGAAAAGATTTGGCATGGGTCCTCAGATCCTCAAAAAGTTATACAGCTGCACCATCGAGAGCATCCTGACTGGTTGCATCACCGCCTGGTATGGCAACTGCTTGGCCTCTGACCGCAAGGCTCTACAGAGGGTAGTGCGTACGGCCCAGTACATCACTGGGGTCAAGCTTCCTGCCATCCAGGACCTCTATACCAGGTGGTGTAAGAGGAAGGCTCTCAAAATTGTCAAAGACTCCAGCCACCCTAGTCATAGACTGTTCTCTCTGCTACCGCACGGCAAGCGGTACCGGAGTGCCAAGTCTAGGTCCAAAAGGCTTCTCAACAGCTTCTACCCCCAAGCCATAAGACTCCTGAACAGCTAGTCATGGCTACCCGGACTATTTGCACTGCCCCCCCACCCCCACCCCATATTTTTACGCTGCTGCTACTCTGTTAATTATTTATGCATACTCACTTTAACTCTACCCACATGTACATATTACCTCAACTAGCCAGTGCCCCCGCACATTGACTCTGCACCGGTACCCCCCTGTATATAGCCTTCCTACTGTTATTTTATTTTACTTCTGCTCTTTTTTCTCAACAACTTTTTGTTGTTGTTTTATTTACTTTTTTATTTAAAAATAAATGCATTGTTGGTTAAGGGCTGTAAGTAAGCATTTCACGGTAATGTCTACACCTGTTGTATTCGGCGCATGTGGCAAATAAAATTTTATTTTATTTTATTTTATTTGAAAAGCCACAGAATTTGGAGAATGACCCTTCAAATCTAAACAGAGAGTGGTCTCAACCCCACTGGAAAAACAAATGTGTGTGATAACCAATCAGCGCGTTTACTCAAAATCTGAGCGCATTATTGCCCCTTAACATGCATTCCGAATACACAAAGTTCTGCATGAGCCATCCTACAGGGAGAACATAAAGAGGCTCTCCTAGCTGCACAGGGATCAGGTAATGAGTCCTACAGATTGCCTTGGTACTTCTACCACTGTGGATGCCATGGCATTCCTTCAAGCTGCTGTTCTGCTGATTCTGGTGACTAATGTTGCTGTTCTCAGGTGTTTATGCTCCAGGGTGTGTTGTAGACGAAAAATTAAACACATGTAACTGAAAGTGTAATGGGCATTGTTGATGATGATGTTTCAATTGGCTTGAATAGTGCTACTAATAATAGTAGATTGGATTATTGGAAATAATTTTCCAAGTGATCAAATTGCTTTACATTGGTATGAGGGGAATTCACCTCATCCACCACCGATCTGTCCAGCTATATTTGTTTTCCTATATGTCATCATTAAAATAAATGTTCCAGTGATAAACCATATTCCTCAAATAGCTTTTTTGTTTATCTGTCGTTGAGGGTCTGGTTGCTATAATTGAATTTAGGGGCCAGTGACGATGCGTGATTAAGTGTGTGTGTTTGTATCTGTTTATCAACAAAAGAGCACTGTACTTTCCATTTACTGTAAGTTGTGTTGCATCTGTTAATGTAATAATGAAGAACCAACGATACCCTTATGTGCAACAATAAAGATGGCGCCGACAGACATGGCAGCTCTGCTTCTAGCTCCTAAGCAACTTTGCAGTATTTTGTTTTTTTTGTGTGTTATTTCTTACATTATTAGGCCAGAACGTTTTTTGTGTTATTACATACAGCCAGAAATAACTTTGGATATCAGAGCAACGGTAACTCACCAGCATTATGACCAGGAATACGACTTTCCCGAATTGGATCCTTTGTTCGTACCCCCCAGGGCAATTGAACTTATCCCAGAGGCTGCTCCAAGATGCCGCCGGCGGAGAAGAGGTATTCGGAGTGGACTTCTAGTCCGACTCAGGAGGCATGCACACCATCCACCGCTACCGAGTATATTACTCGCTAATGTTCAGTCTCTGGACAATAAAGTAGACGAGCTCAGGGCAAGGATCTCCTTCCAGAGAGACATCAGGGACTGTAACATACTCTGTTTCACGGAATCATGGCTCTCTCCGGATATACTGTCCCCGTCCATACAGCCAGCTGGGTTCTCAGTACATTGCGCAGACAGGAATAAAGAACTCTCTGGGAAGATGAAAGGCGGTGGTGTATGTTTCATGTTTAAATACTCATGGTGTGATTGTGATAACGTACAGAAACTCAAGTCCTTTTGTTCACCCAACCTAGAATACCTCACAATCAAATGCCGACCGTATTACCTCCCAAGAGAATTCTCTTCAGTTATAGTCACAGGTGTGTATATTCCTCCTCAAGCCGATACCACAACGGCCCTCAAGGAACTACACTGGACTTTGTGCAAACTGGAAACCACATATCCTGAGGCCGCATTTATTGTAGCTGGGGATTTTAACAAAGCAAATATGAGGAAAACGCTACCGAAGTTCTATAAACACATTGACTAAAGTACTTGTGCTGGAAAAACGCTTGACCACTGCTACTCCCCCTTCCGGGATGCCTACAAGGCCTTCCCCCGCCCTCCCTTCGGCAAATCAGATCATGACTCCATTTTGCTCTTCCCTTCCTATAGGCTGAAACTCAAACAGGAAGTACCAGTGCTAAGGTCTATTCAACGCTGGGCTGACCAATCGGAATCCATGCTTCAAGATTGTTTTGATCATGTGGACTGGGATATGTTCCGGGTAGCCTCTGAGAATAACATTGACGTATACACGGACACGGTCACTGAGTTCATCAGGAAGTGTATAGGGGATGTTGTTCCCACTGTGACTATTAAAACCTACCTAAACCAGAAACCGTGGATAGATGGCAGCATTCGTGCAAAACTGAAAGCATGAACCACCGCATTTAACCATGCCAAGGTGACTGGGAAGATGGTTGAATACAAACAGTGTAGTTATTCTCTCCGTAAGGCAGTCAAACAGGCAAAACGTCAGTACAGAGACAAAGTGGAGTCGCAATTCAGCGGCTCAGACACGAGACTTATGTGGCAGGGACAGTCACGGATTACAAAGGGAAAACCAGCCACACCAACGTCTTGATACCAGACAAGCTGAACACCTTCTTCGCCCGCTTTGAGGATAACACAGTCCCACCGACGCGGCCCGCTCCCAAGGACTGTGGGCTCTTGTTCTCCATGGCCGACGTGAGTAAGACATTTAAGCATGTTAACCCTCGCAAGGCTGCCGGCCCAGATGGCATCCCTAGCCGCGGCCTCAGAGCATGCGCAGACCAGCTGGCTGGAGTGTTTATGGACATATTCAATCTCTCCCTATCCCAGTCTGCTGAACCCAAAAGAAAGCAAAGGTTACTGAACTAAATGACTATCACCCCATAGCACTCACTTCTGTCATCATGAAGTGCTTTGAGAGGCGAGTTAAGGATCATATCACCTCTACCTTACCTGACACCCTAGACCCACTTCAATTTGCATACCACCCCAATAGATCCACAGACGATGCAATCGCTATCGCACTGCACACTGCACTATCCCATCTGGACAAGCGGAGTACCTATGTAAGAATGCTGTTCATTGACTATAGCTCAGCCTTCAACAACATAGTACCCTTCAAGCTCATCAGTAAGCTTGGGGCCCTGGGTCTGAACCCCGCCCTGTGCAACTGGGTCCTGGACTTCCTGACGGGCCGCCCCCAGGTGGTGAAGGTAGGAGACAACACCTCCACTTCGCTGATCCTGAACTCAGGGCCCCCCAAGGGTGTGTGCTCAGCCTCCTCCTGTACTCCCTGTTCACCCATGACTACGTGGCCAAGCACGCCTCCAACTCAATCATCAAGTTTGCAGACGACACAACAGTAGTAGGCCTGATTACCAACAATGACGAGTCAGCCTACAGGGAGGAGGTGAGGGCCCTGGCAGAGTGGTGCCAGGAAAATAACCTCTCCCTCAACGTCAACAAAACAAAGGAGCTGATCATGGACTTCAGGAAACAGCAGAGGGAGCACGCCTCTATCCACATCGACGTGGAGAAGGTCGAAAGCTTCAAGTTCCACGGTGTACACATCACTGACAATCTGAAATGATCCACCCACACAGGCAGTGTGGTAAAGAAGGCTCAACAGCGCCTCTTCAACCTCAGGAGGCTTTAGTAATTTGGCTTGGCCCCTAAGACCCTCACAAGCTTTTACAGATGCACAATTGAGAGCATCCTGTCGGGCTGTATCACCGCCTGGTACGGCAACTGCACTGCCCGCAACTGCAGGGCTCTCCAGAGGGTGGTGCGGTCTGCCCAACGCATCACCGGGGGCACACTGCCTGCCCTCCAGGACACCTACAGCACCCGATGTCACAGGAAGGCCAAAAAGATAATCAAGGACATCAACCACCCGAGCCACGACCTGTTCACCCCGCTACCATCCAGAAGGCAATGTCAGTTCAGGTAAATCAAAGCTGGGACCGAGAGACTGAAAAACAGCTTCTATCTCAAGGCCATCAGACTGTTAGATAGCCATCACTAGCCGGCTTCCACCCGGTTACTTAACCCTGCACTTTAGAGGCTGCTGCCCCATATACATAGACATGGAATCACTGGTCACTTTAATAATGGAACACTAGTCATTTTAATAATGTTTACATACTGCTTTACTCATTTCATATGTATATACTGTATTCTATTCTACTGTATTTTAGTCAATGCCACTCCGACATTGCTCGTCCTAATATTTATATATTTCTTAATTCCATTCTTTTACTTTTAGATTTGTGTGTATTGTTGTGAATTGTTAGATACTACTGCACTGTTGGAGCTAGGAACACAAGCATTTCGCTACACCCGCAATAACATCTGCTAAATATGTGTATGTGATCAGAGTCACGTCTTTCTCATGGATTTTAAATGTTGTTTCTAGCCTAAAGCATCACAGAGTTAAGCATCGTTATAGATCGCTTGATATTATCAGGGTCCGTTTTATTTATTTTCAAAATCTTAAGCTAACAAGGGGTATTGTGTGTCCCGTGTGGCTCAGTTGGTAGAGCATGGTGCTTGCAATGCCAGGGTCCCACGGGGGACCAGTATAAAAAAATATAAAAATGAATGCACTCACTACTGTAAGTCGCTCTGGATAAGAGCATTTGCTAAATGACTAAAATGCATACCCTCACATACAGTGGGGAGAACAAGTATTTGATACACTGCCGATTTTGCAGGTTTTCCTACTTACAAAGCATGTAGAGGTCTGTAATTTCTATCATAGGTACACTTCAACTGTGAGAGACGGAATCTAAAACAAAAATCCAGAAAATCACATTGTATGATTTTTAAGTAATTAATTTGCATTTTATTGCATAACATAAGTATTTGATACATCAGAAAAGCAGAACTTGGTATTTGGTACAGAAACCTTTGTTTGCAATTACAGAGATCATACGTTTCCTGTAGGTCTTGACCAGGTTTGCACACACTGCAGCAGGGATTTTGGCCCACTCCTCCATACAGACCTTCTCCAGATCCTTCAGGTTTCGGGGCTGTCGCTGGGCAATACGGACTTTCAGCTCCTCCAAAGATGTTCTATTGGGTTCAGGTCTGGAGACTGGCTAGGCCACTCCAGGACCTTGAGATGCTTCTTACGGAGCCACTCCTTAGTTGCCCTTGCTGTGTGTTTCGTGTCGTTGTCATGATAGAAGACCCAGCCACGACCCATCTTCAATGCTCTTACTGAGGGAAGGAGGTTGTTGGCCAAGATCTCGCAATACATGGCCCCATCCATCCTCCCCTCAATACGGTGCAGTCGTCCTGTCCCCTTTGCAGAAAAGCATCCCCAAAGAATGATGTTTCCACCTCCATGCTTCACGGTTGGGATGGTGTTCTTGGGGTTGTACTCATCCTTCTTCTTCCTCCAAACACGGCAAGTGGAGTTTAGACCAAAAAGCTCTATTTTTGTCTCATCAGACCACATGACCTTCTCCCATCCCTCCTCTGGATCATCCAGATGGTCATTGGCAAATTTCAGACGGGCCTGGACATGCGCTGGCTTGAGCAGGGGGACCTAGTGTGTTACTAATGGTTTTCTTTGAGGCTGTGGTCCCAGCTCTCTTCAGGTCATTGACCAGGTCCTGCCGTGTAGTTCTGGGCTGATCCCTCACCTTCCTCATGATCATTGATGCCCCACGAGGTGAGATCTTGCATGGAGCCCCAGACCGAGGGTGATTGACCGTCATCTTGAACTTCTTCCATTTTCTAATAATTGCGCCAACAGTTGTTGCCTTCTCACCAAGCTGCTTGCCTATTGTCCTGTAGCCCATCCCATTCTTGTGCAGGTCTACAATTGTATCCCTGATGTCCTTACACAGCTCTCTGGTCTTGGCCATTGTGGAGAGGTTGGAGTCTGTTTGATTGAGTGTGTGGACAGGTGTCTTTTATACAGGTAACGAGTTCAAACAGGTGCAGTTAATACAGGTAATGAGTGGAGAACAGGAGGGATTCTTAAAGAAAAACTAACAGGTCTGTGAGAGCCGGAATTCTTACTGGTTGGTAGGTGATCAAATAGTTATGTAATGCAATAAAATGCAAATTAATTACTTAAAAATCATACAATGTGATTTTCTGGATTTTTGTTTTAGATTCCGTCTCTCACAGTTGAAGTGTACCTATGATAAAAATTACAGACCTCTACATGCTTTGTAAGTAGGAAAACCTGCAAAATCGGCAGTGTATCAAAAACTTGTTCTCCCCACTGTACCCCCTCAATTTGAGACATGACACTGGTCATTGCAGGATTTTTAGATAAAGGAGAATTCCCAACGTGAACTTGGTTCTATATGATACAGTGATAATAATGATACTGTGAAGCCTACTTTCTGTTGCTGATGTCCTTTCTTCCACAATCTACAGTGGCCACAGTGGTTGTACCTACCGTTGAGACAGTGCAGTGGTCCATGCTCTCATCTGCAAACAGCACGGCGTCCTTCACAAACACGGCCAGTCCACGGAGGATGAAGGTGGAAAACAGGTTGAGGTGGATGGAGGTCCTGATGCACAGCAACTTCCTGTGGAAGACACCAGACTCAACTGGGTAACACTTTACTTGAACGGTACGTACAAAAGGATATACATAACACATTTATAACCCATGAAGTCTACCATTCAAATAACATGTTAACGACGTATCTTTATGAAGGCTTTATAAAGCGTATATAAGTAGTTTATAGATGGTTAATTATTCATTTATAGATAGTTATTGAATTAGTAATAAAAAGTAACAACCCGTGATATAGTGGAGGGTAAGCGCAGTCCATGCACCTTTTTATTTGTGAATAGCCTTTAGGCACCTATAACGCTAAATCTCCATTCAACCTGTTTTGTAGTCTACAAAGCCTTAACTTGTGTCCAAGAAACCGGCCCATAATATTTATAGTCAGCAGACCTTCAAATTAATTGTTACCAGGAAAGGAGATGAGGAAAGGAAGCTTATTCAGAAGCAATTATACAGCGTCACCGACCACAAATATTTGGGGATCACTTTATTTGAACTGGACTGTTATGACATACCTTTTTTTTTTAAAGTATTACCACAATGTGCTATTCTGAGTTCTAGTTCTGAATGACTTATATTTCCTGAAATGTAAAAGTTCACCTGAAGATGCAGAAGACCAGAATGGCAATGAAGAGAGATGCCAGCGACACCCCATAGCCCACAGTGTAGATGATCTTCACCGTAGCAAAGTAATTTTGCTTGAAGAAAGAATAAAACATGTATTATCATACTCACGAATAACAGTCAAAGGTCCCAAGTTGACAAAATGTAAATTAAACATGCCTGCATATTTTTGTATTCATTTGCTGTAATGACTACTCATGAGCAAAGTCTTACATCCAAATGCAACCAACCTTCGGCAGATTTTGAACCGTAGCTGTATCCAATTTGTTGTGTCTTATCTAAATATGCTCCCAGTATGATGATCATACAGTTGAAGTCGGAAGTTTACATACACCTTAGCCAAATACATTTAAACTCAGTTTTTCACAATTCCTGACATTTAATCCTAGTCAAAATTCCCTGTTTTAGGTCAGTTAGGATCACCACTTTATTTTAAGAATGTGAAATGTCAGAATAATAGTAGAGGGAATGATTTATTTCAGCTTTTATTTATTTCATCACATTCCCAGTGGGTCAGAAGTTTACATACACTCAATTAGTATTTGGTAGCATTGCCTTTAAATTGTTTAACTTGGGTCAAACTTCGGGTAGCCTTCCACAAGCTTCCCACAATAAATTGGGTGAATTTTGGCCCATTCCTCCTGACAGGTCATTGTCCATTTGGAAGACCCATTTGCGACCAAGCTTTAACTTCCTGACTGATGTCTTGAGATGTTGCTTCAATATATCCACATAATTTTCCTTCCTCATGATGCCATCTATTTTGTGAGGTGCACCAGTCCCTCCTACAGCAAAGCACCCCCACAGCATGATGCTGCCACCCCCGTGCTTCACGGTTGGGTGGTGTTCTTCAGCTTGCAAGCACCCCCTTTTTCCTCCAAACATGACGATGGTCATTATGGGCAAACAGTTATATTTTTGTTTCATCAGACCAGAGGACATTTCTTCAAAAAGTACGATCTTTGTCCCCATGTGCAGTTGCAAACCGTAGTCTGACTTTTTTATGGCGGTTTTGGAGCAGTGGCTTCTTCCTTGCTGAGCGGCCTTTCAGGTTATGTCGATATAGGACTCGTTTTACTGTGGATATAGATACTTTTGTACCTGTTTCCTCCAGCATCTTCACAAGGTCCTTTGCTGTTGTTCTGGGATTGATTTGCACTTTTCGCACCAAAGTACGTTCATCTCTAGGAGACAGAATGCGTCTCCTTCCTGAGTGGTATGACGGCTGCGTGGTCCCATGGTGTTTATACTTGCGTACTATTGTTTGTACAGATGAACATGGTACCTTCAGGCGTTTGGAAATTGCTCCCAAGGATGAACCAGACATGTGGAGGTCTACAATTTTTTTTCTGAGGTCTTGGCTGATTTCTTTAGATTTTCCCATGATGTCAAGCAAAGAGGCACTGAGTTTGAAGGTAGGCCTTGAAATACATCCACAGGTACACCTCCAATTGACTCAAATGATGTAAATTAGCCTATCAGAAGCTTCTAAAGCCATGACATCATTTTCTGGAATTTTCCAAGCTGTTTAAAGGCACAGTCAACTTAGTGTATGTAAACTTCTGACCCACTGGAATTGTGATACAGTGAATTATAAGTGAAATAATCTGTCTGTAAACCATTGTTGGAAAAATTACTTGTGTCATGCACAAAGTAGATGTCCTAACCGACTTGCCAAAACTATAGTTTGTTAACAATAAATGTGTTTTAATGACTCCAACCTAAGTGTATGTAAACTTCCAACTTCAACTGTATATAATTATTATTAAAACTTTGACAAAAAATATGTCAGCTGACATGTACACTTCACATAATAGTAAATAATGATTTTGTGTGTGAAATTATCCTTTTACTAAAGTGTTACCTTACAATGCTACCAACTCTACTCTACCTTATTCCCAGTCTCCTCCTCTTCTTCACTGCTGTCCTCAAAGTAACATGCTTTGTAATACGGCAAGCTTGGCTTACTCCATCCTTGGGGGGTGCAGTTGCGTGTGATGAGAGCTGTAAAGAAAATATCACCGATTTAAAATATATATTGTTTAATTGGATGAGATGGTGGATGATATTATGAGTTGGGTGAAGTTGCCCCTAGACACTGATCTAGAGTATTTATTGTACCTGGGGGAGAGTCTGGCTTCAGGAGGAGCAGAGGACAGGACACGGAGAGGCTCTCCCCATTTAGGGCTGTGGGCCAGCAGCTCACACCATCCCATTCCACCAGACAACCTGTCATTTCCCACACAACGTTATAAACAAGCAGTAAACTGTGGCGGAAAGAAAAAAAACAGGTTGAGACTGAGGCAGAATGCACAATTGTTTTATTATTATTGTTTTACATGTTATTTTGTATGAATGTATCTTTAAAATAATGCAAAGGGGTGTTAAAGATGCAAAGATGTCCCCCTTTGTTTTTTTCTACAAATGAATGCCTAACATTCTCATTGGAGAGAGAGCTACCTGTAGTGTTGTTAGGAGTTGACAAGGACAGTGCCTTGGTGTTCCTCATCTGGAGTTTGCACTCGCCCTCTTTCTCCAAGAGGTGGAGGACAATGGAGCATTCAGGATGAGTGGTCCTGATCTGAGTGGCAGGAAGACGGATGGACGTACAGACCGGACGGACAGACACAAGAAGGCAGACAGAAATTCATTATTTAAACCATTGATCCATTTCACCAGGTGTCTGTCCGTCCATCTAATGTATACAGTATTTATGACTATTTTCATTTTACCACACAATATACTGTACACCGGATAATAAACACAGACATTCAAACTCCTTTTAGCTAACAGTTTAAACTCTTTCAAATCGTTAATGCAGCATCATTTATGTATTGTCTAGATCAGGGTTTTTCATAATGATTGTCCTGGAGACCCTGCTCTAGATAAAAGACATGCAAGCATAACCGTCAAACTATATAATACTACAGTCATTAGCTCAAGTGCTGTAAATACCAACATTTTGAACCCAAATACACTTACCACCCTTACACTACAAATAAGGATAAAAAATATGGCGACCAACTTGATGTCCATATTCCTTGTGTTTATATGCCTTGTAAACATACTCAAAGCAGGTAATGTTTCATTCGGTCTTTATGGTCCCTCGTGCAGTGTCTCAGCTTCTCATGCAAAGAAGTGTTTCCTCCTTATCTGGCAGATGGTTAAGAGTTCACGGCCACCTCCCAAATGGTATAGCCTAGTTTTCAGGGTTACTTAGTCCATCATCAACCCCCCATGTCAAACCATATCCTCCTTGAGCAAAATTATTACTTAAAAGCCAATCAAAATCCTCACAGTGGCTTTAACAGTTCTCAAAATGCTCCAGACATTTCTGTGGTGATCTCCAAACACACACTAAACAGTCATGGTGAAGTAAGGAGTGTATGCAAATGTAGTCTCTTTCTGTCCTGTTTCCTTATTTCCCTGCAGAGCTGGCTACCTTTCTTGTTTACCTGTTTGTCCCCTTTTTTCCCACCCGAGTGAGCGTGATTGGGGCTTTCTGCAGCAGTAATGTCAAATGATTTAAGGGATGACTGAACTTACATCTCCGAGATAAGAGGATGACATCACCTGGGAGGTATGCAGATTACCTTTGGCGAACACAGGTAAAAAGGCAAGGAAGTGTCTTTCATACAAAAACATAATGCATGCTGAAAAGAAAAAAACAACAACCCAAAAGTACCTTTGTAAATGACATATGTATACAGTAATGACTTAGAAGTATTTTTCAGCACAGATGGACCATGGTTCTTAGCTCATCCATTATTGAAATAGGTCTCTTTCCCAGTGGACCTTCTACCATGACAAGCAAAGGACAGTGAGTAAAGAATTCTAGCGGCCTCCTTCACTAACAAATAACCATGCAATATTCAAGAAATGAGCACCAAGAGAATGGTAAGTGAAAATGAAAGAAGGGGAAAAGGGGTGAAAAATACAGACATCACGGCTGAGGTTCACAATTGCTCTTGTTTCTAACAATTATAGGACTTTTTGTCACGACTAACCATTCAAATAATCCAACCCTCTAAAAAGGTTGTACTTCACCAATTTAGGTTTAGGGTGTGCATTTTTGTCCTCTCTATTTGAATGAAAGTAAGACAATACGGGGAATCCTTTCTAAACAATAATTCCCCCACTAAGGTGGTTGCCCAGCCCAAAATTTGCCATGTGTGTCCATGGAACAGAGATGGAACATATAGTAATGTGCACAGGTCTTTGTCTGACCCCAGGGTACAATGGCATGCAGGGGCTCATACTGTATATGGTTTCTTCCAAAGGCATCCCCCGGGTGTGTGTGTGTGTGTGTTGGGGGTTGTATGCTTATTGAGAGGGGGGCATTAGCCCCAACATGTGTATCTATCAAAAGAAACCACCTCACTCCTACACTGCCACACCCTCTCTATTTTTTATTCTTGATTTTGTGTTCTTTGGTCACGCCACCCAATGAGCCAAACCCCAAACAAGAGGATGATTCTCCAGGTCCTGTGACAGCCCCTGACTCAACTTCTGCTCCAGCTGCAGACCCAGCCGCAGACCCAGCTCCAACCCCTGCTCCAGGTCCAGCCCCAGCCTGTGCTGCCGCTCCAGCCCCTGTCCCACCTAAAGCCCCAGCCCCTACTAAAGCCAAAGCCCCTACTAAGGTCTCAGCCTCTACTAAAGGTCCAGCAGCCCCTACTAAAGCCCCAGGTCCTACTAAACCCCCTGCAAAAGCCCCAGCCCCTGCTACAGATCCAGCCCCTGCTCCAGCACCTGCTACTGATCCAGCCCTAGCCCCTGCCCCAGAGCCCGAGCCACCAACAGAGCCTAAAGTTGTTCCCAAGAGTGTCATTGTACAGGTATGTGCTGTAATGCATTTACGTTTAGAGTTTTTTTGTTACCCCCTTTTTCTCCCCAATTTCGTGATATCCAATTGCGATCCAATACGATCTTGTCTCATCGCTGCAACTTCCCAACGGGCTCGGGAGAGGCGAAGGTCAAGTCATGCGTCCTCCGAAACATGACCTGCCAAACCGCACTTCTTAACACCTGCCCGCTTAACCCGGAAGCCAGCCACACCAATGTGCCGGAGGAAACACCGTTCAACTGACAACCGAAGTCAGCCTGCAGGCACCCGGCCCGCCACAAGAGCGCGATGAGCCAAACCCTCCCCTAATCCGGATGACGCTGGGCCGCCCTATGGGACTCCCGGTCACGGCCGGTTGTGACACAGCCTGGGAACAAACCCAGATCTGTAGTGACGCCTCAAGCACTGCGATGCAGTGCCTTAGACCGCTGCGCAACTCGGGAGACCCAGAGGTTTTTTATTTTCAAGCACATCCAAATGCACATCCATATTTTTGTTTGTCAAGAGATTTTTACTCTATCGGCCAGCAGTGACCGGACACTTACTTGGAACCTTACTTTCTTTTCAATGTTTGGTCTTTGATCTTTGCAGCGATTACCAACTGTACCTATATCTCTAAATTAAATTTGATTCAATAATTTGGAGTCTCATTGGGAAAGAAAGATGCCCTATGGAAACTTAACTGGAATATCTACATGGTGAAATGGGAACCAAAACAGAAGTGAATACTAGAAGCGAAGGAAAGTTTCCACATTTTTTACAAAATACAGTATCTTCATGAAATTCTTTAACAGAATGAACCCACCACTACATCCCTTTTTACCACTACATCCCTGCTGCATCAACAACATCTGAGCTAAAATGTTTAAAGTCAGAGAAGAAATGATTGGACATAAAAACTGTATTACAACAATGATTAGCAGTGAGTAAGTTTACATGCACACTAATAATTTCATATTAAACTGATTATGGCAGTAGGCCGAGTATGGCATTAGTCATGTAAAGATCACCTCTGCCCAGTGTGGAGATGTAATTTGTGCACTGGGCCAGAAAACTAATGCAGAGGTCATTAAAGTGCTGCACAAGTCAAAACCAGAAGGTAAGTTCTCAATGGCCTGGGCCTGTACTTAAACAGAGTCTCAGAGTAGGATTGCTTATCCAAGATCAGTTTTAACCTTTTAGATCATAATGAATAAGATTGCATGGACAGGGGGACCTGATCCTAGATCAGCACTCCTACTCTGAGAGGCTTTGTGAATTCGTGCCTGGTATCTAACCAGCAAATACAAATAAGCTATTTAGACACCTACTAATGTAGATACCAATTTAAAGTGCCCTGCTTGATGAAGACTCTATCCAGAATGGTGTATTACATTCTTGTGCAACCTCAAGTACTTTTGAATGTCACAACATCATGAGGGAATCAGGACACTGCTCATCAAGGCTTCATCAATTATTTCGAGCAAGGGGGATTAAAGATGAATGTTCTGAATAGAGCAACATTGTAATATACTGTAAATTATGCACAATACTATGAAATGGACTAAAACGTGAACATCATTTGATCTAATATCAATAAAGCTGATAAAACATGTCAGAATCATTGTACCTAATCATTTTTTCAAGAATTTCCAGGATTAAAAACACATTAACATTAGATTACGTTTGGTTTGCCGTAATTTCCATGTCCAGACATGCTGAACTGTGTGTTTCTTAACTGTAACAGTGCCACATAACCCTATGGAATGTAACTGGTACACCTCACAGTCCAAAGGGGCAGACAATGAAGCCATACTATCCATGTTGTTGGCAATGAAAGAGTGATCCATCCAATCACCCCCTCTCCATCCCCATAGACGACCAGCATTAACCAGTGTTGACTACAGTTTACAGCCTTTTCCATAAATTGGAAGAATCATTACAACAGGGCCCAATCAAATATCAAATTCAGTACCCAAAGTTGTCTAACTATAGGCGAACCTCAACGCAAGACTAGTTAAAGACAGAAAGTCCATATGTTAAAAAGAGGCTAAATATTTGTGTAGGTCTCTCAACAGGGTACAGTTTAATTGTCTAGCTAGAAAGTTGGTAACAAATGGTTGAGCCAACTCCTGGCCACATTGACAGGCTTTCTAAACAAAGCTTGACAGATGTATTGCACTGGATTACCTTATAGTAGACATGACAAACCATGCAGAACACAAAGACATACGTCAGTACAAAAAACAAAAATAGCATGTCTTGCTAATGCTGGCCTAACATCTCTTCTCAGAGCAGCTATGTAAACATTCCATGAGAGCACATACAGTGCATTCAGAAAGTATTCAGACCCCTTCCCTTTTTCTCCATATTTTGTTACATTATAGCCTTATTCTAAAATTGATTAAATTTATTTTTTCCTTCATCAATCTACACACAATACACCAATAATGACAAAGTGAAAACAGGTTTTTAGACATTTTAGCAAATGTAATAAAATTAAAACAGAAATACCTTATTTAGATAAGTGTTCAGACCCTTTGCTATGAGACTCGAAATTGAGCTCAGGTGCATCCTGTTTCCATTGATCATCCTTGAGATGTTTCTACAACTTCATTGGACTCCACCTGTGGTAAATTCAATTGATTGGACATGATTTGGAAGGGCACACACCTGTCTATAGAAGGTCCCACAGTTGACAGTGCATGTCAGAGTAAAAACCAAGCCATGAGGTTGAAGGAATTGTCCGTAGAGCTCCGAGACAGGATTGTGTCAAGGCACAGATCTGGGGAAGGGTACCAAAACATTTCTGCAGCATTGAAGGTCCACAAGAACACAGTGACCTCCATCATTCTTAAATGGAAGAAGTTTGTAACCACCAAGACTCTTCCTAGAGCTGGCCGCCCGGCAAACTGAGCAATCGGGGGAGAAGGGCCTTGGTCAGGGAGGTGACCAAGAACTCGATAATTCCTCTGTGGAAATGGGAGAAACTTCCAGAACGACAACCATCTCTGCAGCACTGCACCAATCAGGCCTTTATGGTAGAGTGGCCAGACGGAAGCCACTCCTCAGGAAAAGGCACATGACAGTCCGTTTGGAGTTTACCAAAAGGCACCTAAAGGACTCTCAGACCATAAGAAACAAGATTCTCTGGTCTGTTGAAACCAAGATTGAACTCTTTGGCCTGAATGTCAAGCGTCACATCTGGAGGAAACCTGGCACCATCCCTATGGTGAAGCATGGTGGTGGCATCATCATGCTGTGGGGATGTTTTTCAGCGGCAGGGACTGGGAGACTAGTCAGGATCGAGGGAAAAATGAACGGAGCAAAGTACAGAGAGATCCTTGATGAAAACCTGCTCCAGACTGGGGCGAAGGTTCACCTTCCAACAGGACAACGGCCCTAAGCACACAGCCAAGACAATGCAGGAGTGGCTTCGGGACAAGTCTCTGAATGTCCTTGAGTGGCCCAGCCACTGTTCTCCATCCAGTTTGTTGTTTACAGGCGTGAAATAATTTTAAACACTATGGATCACTATGGATCCCTGCCGGAGATTAAGGACACTTGTAAGGGATTTCACCATGAGGCCAGTGGTATTGTTCTGAATTGAGTAGCCAATACTATATACAGCATATGCTTATTTTATTGTCTGCTGCACAGAGATGAACAGCCAGCTGCTGGATTTCGACACCTTCGTTCCCATGTTTCTGCAAGTGTCCAAGGGTCAATGCGTCTTTGACAAGGAAGGCAACGGCACCTTCATGGGAGCTGAGCTACATCATGTACTCGCCACGCTAGGTGAATGCTTTGAATGTTTAACCCTTTACACTCGTGGGAATTGGCCTATACAGTGAGGGAAAAATGTATTTGATCCCCTGCTGATTTTGTATGTTTGCCCACTGACAAAGACATGATCAGTCTATAGTTTTAATGGTAGGTTTATTTGAACAGTGAGTGAGAATAACAACAACAAAATCCAGAAAAAACGATTGTCAAAAATTTTATAAATTGATTTGCATTTTAATGAGGGAAATAAGTATTTGACCCCTCTGCAAAACATGACTTAGTACTTGGTGGCAAAACCCTTGTTGGCAATCACAGAGGTCAGACGTTTCTTGTAGTTGGCCACCAGGTTTGCACACATCTCAGGAGGGATTTTGTCCCACTCCTCTTTGCAGTTCTTCTCCAAGTCACTAAGGTTTCGAGGCTGACGTTTGGCAACTCGAACCTTCAGCTTCCTCCACAGATTTTCTATGGGATTAAGGTCTGGAGACTGGCTAGGCCACTCCAGGACCTTAATGTGCTTCTTCTTGAGCCACTCCTTTGTTGCCTTGGCCGTGTGTTTTGGGTCATTGTCATGCTGGAATACCCATCCACGACCCATTTTCAATGCCCTGGCTGAGGGAAGGAGGTTCTCACACAAGATTTGACGGTACATGGCCCCATCCATCGTCCCTTTGATGCGGTGAAGTTGTCCTGTCCCCTTAGCAGAAAAACAACCCCAAAGCATAATGTTTCCACCTCCATGTTTGACGGTGGGGATGGTGTTCTTGGGGTCATAGGCAGCATTCCTCCTCCTCCAAACACGACGAGTTGAGTTGATGCCAAAGAGCTCGATTTTGGTCTCATCTGACCACAACACTTTCACCCAGTTCTCCTCTGAATCAGTCAGATGTTCATTGGCAAACTTCAGACGGCCCTGTATATGTGCTTTCTTGGGCAGGGGAACCTTGCGGGCGCTGCAGGATTTCAGTCCTTCACAGCGTAGTGTGTTACC